TGATTTCGATTTTCGATTTTGATTTCGAATTTTGATTTTTTCGAAACCTGTTAGGGTATGTTCGAAATGTTTGAACCTTAATCGTCGAAATTATTGTCGAAACAAAACTATTTCGCCATCATGTATGGTCTTGTCTTTAACATTTACTTCCATCAAATATATAATTATCGAATAATTGATAAAAAATTTTACAAAACCTGCTTCTTAGATCTTACCTTTAACACTTAACTCCATCAACCTGCCTACATGACTATTGAATAATTGATAAACGGTTATTGAGTATAATGATTTTTTTTTCGGGATGCTGGAAAAGGGACGGGGGACAGGTTCAAGCCACACCTGCCCGTCCCCCCGTTCTTTTCATGTGTCTGACATTTTTTTTTCATTATTATTTATACAATATCGCAAATATTATTAATGCCCGTCCTTTTTTAAGAAAACATTAGATACGGGCAGTCCTTCTCATGAATAATAATAATAGAAAAGGACAGGGACGGGACACTGTGACACACCCGTCCGCCCGTCCTTTTTTAGTATTCATGGACTAAATATGAAAAAGACGGGGGATGTGCAGGTGTGGCTTGAGACTGTCCCGTATAAAAAACAATTATTTATTATAACATAATATGAATTACTAAGCTTTATTTTTTTTTGTATGACTAATTATTGATGAAAATTGAGATTAATATATTATTATATATTATATGATATTGATAAGTATACCACTTCAGCTATAAATGAAAACATTTATTTGAAAATAATAATACTGCAATTATGTATTGTTTATGATTATTAAAAATTACCGTCAAAAATCATTATTTAGTACACATATTTGACATTCCAAATCAAAGCGGTAGGAAAAGATTCAGTATGGTATAACTCTTGCAGAACGTATGGTATGGTATGGTATAGCCCATATTTTTCCATACCAACTCACACAATTTTATTCTAAATCCTTTTTTGGTGGATGTGAAGGGAAGTATGTTAGATTTAAGCATTGGTATACAACCATTTTATTACACTTATACAATACCATACCATACGTTTTGCAAGAGTTATACCATACTGAATGTCACTATACTCGTATAATTCAAAAACAAATATGTATCACACAAAATATTAAAAAAAAGAATTACAGCAAATCACCCTAAAGTCGTAAAAGTCATAGATCGTAAAACCGTAATGCTATAATTATTTACAGCCTATAAATATTGCGAGCGTGCGATCCGAGTTATTTATTACAAAGTTACCAAATCTGGCATACCTTTAACCAATAATGTTCAAACTAAAATCGTTACCGCTTGATTCGAATTATTTCTATTATTATTATTATTATTATTATTATTATTATTATTATTATTATGAATTTGAGTATTCGAATTACATTGAATAAAATGAATAATGAATAATTTGATAATTCGAATAAAACGAATAAACAATTCAAATAGACGAATGATTCAAATAAATGAATAATTCGATAATTCGAATAAATGAATAAACGATTTGAATAAAACGAATGATTCGAATAAAGCGAATAATTTGAATAAACAAATAAATAATTCGAACAAAATGAATAAACGAATAGTTCGAATAATTCGATTAAAACGAGTAACTCGAATAATTCGATTAAACGAATAAAACGGAAAACGAATAAATTAAAATGAACAATTCGAATAAACGAATAAACGGTTCACAAACATCAAAAAATTATTAAAAATAAGTTAATACATTTATCTATATATATTTGTATCTTTTTCTAGACAGAGTAGACAAGATTATAATATGAGTTGTTGAATGGACAATTGGTAGAAGAGTTATCTAAATTAATTGATTCAAGAGCTCTATATATAGATTCGTCATTTGAAGAAATTGTAAAGATATAATTTAATTTTGCCAAGAAAGTTATAATAGATTAAATTATCTACAAAGATAGATACTGTGATTGTTATGTTGATAATAAGGTTGAAATTGTCTTGCAACAAAATGAAAGAATTTTCAATTTGTGTTGGCGATTTTTACTGATGGAATATTGACAGATAGTTTTAATATTAAATATTATTATTATTATTATTATTATTATTATTATTATTATTATTATTATTATTATTATTATTATGTTATTATCGACTAACTATTATTATGATTATCACTATTAATATTAATATTACTACAATCCCAATCAATTAGGTTAGATTAAACTGACTTTGGTTCTATTTAATCCACCTCTGAAAATCTTCATTGGCTGTGAGTCCATTTGTAATCTTCTAAATGCTTCGTGTATATGAGATGGTTGTAGAGGAGTTTGTTCTGGTGGTGGCTTGGAAAATAGATGAATTCCATTCTCGCCATCATAACCATTTTGCAAATACATTTGTCTAAATTTATTCAACTTATTATTTAAATTATTTGAGGTAAAATCTCGATCCGTTTCCTGTTTGACCAATAAAGCAGTTTCTGTCAATTTGCTAACCATTTCAAATGTCAAAAATCCCAAAATATCAATTATATCATCGTTTGGTTTCATGTCAATATAGGCTGACATGTTTGCCCATTCTCGAAACCTTTTCGCTTTACGATATGTGAATGATGCTTGTCTACACTCTGAATAATGAACATATTCATCTCGTGTCATTGCCTTTGTAATTTCATCGGCATCCTTTAATCGTTGTACCGAGTCATTATACGCATCTAATTCTTCCTCGTCTTCCTCATCTGAATCTGCATTCAAATACTCTGAAAATGAATTTACCAACTCCCATGACAATTTGACTTTCATTTTACGTGCCTTGGCTGTAAATATAAATATATATGTGTATATGATTAATGTATTTTGCTCAATTACATATATACTCTCTCACACTAACACAGATATCAATAATTTACCTGCATTAGGTTCTTCCAAAATTTCTTCAGTTGCGTCATTTCCACCTGAATCTTTGGCATTTTTTCTTACATCTTTCCAACTCAAATAAGTTCGCAATCGATTAACTTTTGCTCGATCATGTCTAATTAAAAATATTAAATCCTCAGCACTCATGTATCTAGACCCACGTTTTGCCGCTTGTGCTGCTGCTTGAATAATCTATATATTATATTATATTATATTATATTATATTATATTATATTATATTATATATATGTATATATATATAAAAGATTGATTTATTTAATATTTGTTTTAAAATAATCAAACATTCAAACAATCATCCAAAGCACGCACATTTTTTAACATACAATTTCGATGACTTGTGATCTTACAATATCTTCAACAAGTTGAGTTGTCTCTACCAAAGGTTCAGTAACTTCACCAAATACAAACATCATTTGCTGTATTTCTGAAGAGTATCTATATTTTGAACGATCCTTTTCCTTTTCAAAACACAAATCATAATTAAACAATTGTTCGTAAAAAAAATTTATTTTACTTCATTTTATTATTTTAAAACTTACCATGTTGAAAAGTTAAAATTTATAACATTTCACACAATTCACACAATTCACAAAAAAACCAACGTCTAATGAAGTTCCCTACTTTATTAAGTAAAAATATTGCCTAATACAATTTTATAAATGATCCAATATTTTTTATTCCTCCATATTATCACTCACTGCATGATAATCACAAACGACGGGGATTTTAAATCCACATAAAAACAATATGCAATTTTTTTAGTATGATGAATGATCAGCGAGACTTTAGCTTTAATAATAAATGTTTTCAATATATTCTCGATTTTACATTATTTTCATTATTTATACATATAATTAATCATACAAGCAAAACAATTATCAAAATCTCTTGTGGCCAACACACACTTAATCGGTCTTCTATTTTGGAGAGCGTGGTAGTGATAGCGATGGTAATGGTATAAGCATAATTATAAAGTAGTATTATACTGGTATCTTTCCAATTATCTTTTTCAATAACTCCATTGTAGCCATATTTTATCACGTCTGTTACAATATTCATGATAATTATGCGAATGCATTTGATGTTATTATTCACAGTAAATGATTGCATCGCTCAAGTAATAATATTACCAGGATCATGCGGAAATGAAAATTTGAGGGGAAAGCCATATAAATGTCCTGACAAGAAAATCGGAAAATAAACCCTTGGTATCTTTGTTGGATTTTAATCCGAACCCTCTTTCCATGCAGAATAAGGGTTCCATCACCTTGTCATCCAAGTAGTAGCGGAAAAGTTTTAGTGGTTGAGTATCTGCCTAGGTCTCTGGGATTCCCTTCCCAATTGTATACAATTGCAAGCTGTAGAATTCCTTAAAAAACCATTTCCAAAATGAACAAATAATATTGAATCCAACATATTGAGCTTAGATGTCAAATTCAACAGAATCATTCCCTTCTCTTTATCCTATTTAAAAAACCTTTTGTAGTACAATGATTAAAATTCCAATAGATTTTAAATAGATTTTGTATTAGTGTTGATTTAATAGATATTTATCAACACACTTTTAAGTCGTTTATTTTCCTGCTCTTGTTATCCAATCTTTGTTACCTTTTCGATATCCATCTAAGATCTACTTGGCAATAAAAAGTTACATAGGTAAATAAATATTTATCTCTTTTCACTTAAATATGTAATAAAAAAGGAAGAAACTTAAATGAACGACATGCAAAATTAACAAAGATTTTAGAGAAATCTGGCAGCAAATAGAAAAATGCCAAATGCCCAGAATTACTCTGTATAGTATCTTGTTATATGAAAATAGAATATGATTAACATGGGTATATCATTAAAAAAAAAGTCAAAAATTTTATACCTTACATTGGATGCATGCATGGCTTTTGATCTGCAATCTATCTATCGCTACGTGAATGGTGCCTTTCGTGATTACTTTCTAGGGTCAAGGATCTGAACATAAGAAAGAAGCTCCTATTATTAAAAGGCTTTGGATGCAATTTCAATAAGTCATAGCCCCCCGAGCCCACACTGAATTTTCCATAACTAACATTTTTAAATTCTTGATGGATGATGATATGAGCATAGTATAGGTTCGCTAATTCATAATGAAAACATATTGTAGAAATCAAAATAATAATTACATATACTTTCAAGATCAAATAAAAGATATATTGCCCAAAAATTCTCCATTCTTACCTTTCTTCCAAAATTAATTAATCTACAATATTGCATATCGCTTTGTCCTTCTCCTTCGCAATCGTTTCATATGCTTTTGATAATTTTCAACACGTTTACGAAAATCTGCCGATGCATCATCTGGATTTATATTCTTATAATTTAGTCCTGATGATTTCAAGCTCATATTTGCATCTAATACCTAAAAGGTCGATTTCCATGAAGAATTGAAGTATTCTTTAACCGAAAGACAGAAAAGAACAGGTGCTTTAATTATATTGATATGTGAAATAATAAAGACCAAAATATTGACGGTAAATATTTAAATAAAGCTTTATATGGCTGATCTTCTAAGTGATCGAATGGAAAAAACGTCGTTCTAAAACTGTTGAAACAGAATTGCAATTTGGTATTAATAAAAGAAAACTAATAATAATAATATTAATAATGATAAATATTATAATATCAGTAATAATAAAACAAGCAAGGAAAGAATGGTGGGCTATATAATCAGATTTGGGGGGGTATCTATTTGTTTATGTATTTTTAATTTTATAAATGACAATATAGAAAAAGAAAATAAAAAAATAAAGCTTTATAATAATAGAACCTTGGAAAACAAAATGCCAGATGTTAGTGATAACTTGGTAAATAAAAAAGTTTCAAACAATTATTTTTATTTTTTTTTAATTCAATTGACGTATTTTTTTATTTTAATTTATTTAGTCAGCAACAACAGTTATAACAGCAACATCGCCAACAGTTGTTACTAGACAGAAATATGAAGAAGTTCAAGCAGAGCTTGACGAATTGATGAAACAAAGAGAAAATCTAGAAGAAAGTTTGGTAAGATCACATTTTATTAGCATTATTAATACTTTAGTAGCTATTAACATTAACGAATGACACGCACTCTCTTTTATACTCTTCATTTATTAGTTGACGCTTGAAACCAGTATTTACTCATCTGAAGGTTCATATTTGGAAGAAAGTGGGAATCTTATTCGTGGATTTGATGGATATTTGAAACCTTCCTCGCAACAAGATAAAAAAAAGAAAGACATATCTAAAGAAGCTCGATTATTTTCTAATTCAAGTTCTTCTTCTAGAAAGGTAAATCAATCAACTAACGGAATGAAATATACAAATCAATAGCATTCATTTTTATTTAACCAATTTAACTAATTCAAAATTTAACTAATAATCCCAATTACAATTATTGAGGTTAATGGGTCAATGGCAGAAGATGAAAGTTCCAGTTCAGATGAATATAATAAGATTATTGGTAGATCATCATTTACTACTTCAAATAAAAGATTTAAAAGAACCCATAAAAAAAATAATAGCAGCGGCAGTAGTCATAGTAGACAATCCTCTCTTTATAATATATATAGTAATAGTAATAATAATAATAATAATAGTAATAATAATAATAATGGCGTTTCACCAGAAACTGCAAGATTAAGATTAACTATCAGTTGCAAAGAATTGAAAAAAGAAAAAGATGAAATGGAAACGGAAATGTGAACGTGAGAATTGCAAAGATGTAATTTAATTTATTTATGTAAAAATAATCATGTATAAAATAAATCAGATTTTATTATTTAATCAAAGAAACAATAACGTAAGCAAAAGAGATCATCCTCTTGTTTCAAATGGAAATAGGTTGAGTCTATGCGGTTATATGTGAAGGAAAATTCCTTGATGTAGATATAAAGTTCAATGGTGACTTCAAATCACTGATCAACTACTTCTTAATTACATTTCAAGCTCAATGATAGCTGGAAAACTGCCAGTTGAATATTTTCAAGCCTCAAATTACTAAATTAATCATTCTTAATTACATTCAAGCTCAGCGAACTGCCAGTCTATTATTACTTGTATATTTTCAAGCTCAATCAATGTGAATGACTTATTCGGTTTGTGAGCCAGCTCATGCGAGCTTTAATGGTGATCATGATGGTTGCCAATCAAGCTCAATGGTGACATCAAAATCTAAATCAAATTATTTCTTTTTCAAGCTCAATGGTGATCTCAAATTATTTATTATCAAATTTCAAGCTCAATAATGATGATAATGACCTCACAACTACTACCCAAATGATTTCTTATATGGGGTTTTCTAGCAAAAGGTAGCTTAAGTGCTCTCTTAATTTTTGCATAATATATTACAAGGATTATAACTGGTGAAAAAATCAGGTTATGATTATTTAAAAAAATGGGTGATCAGATTAAAATTGATCTATATACAACCCCATATTTTAGAATATTCTTGAGATTTTTTTGAAAAATGAACTTTTCTAATACCAGCTGTCAAAGTACTAAAGCAAAAATGATGGTTCTTTTTTATATTTGGTAAAGTTCTAAAATGATTTTTTAACATTGAACCAAAGTCATCCTAATCCATTATTGTATTATAGACTCTTTATATTTTTATTTTGAATTGAATAAATGAAAATAGCAAAAATTACAGTAATAAATTTTGGAGTTCAAAAAAATCAAATAATTTAAGCTATAACCCATGATATAGATGTTCTATGAACTTCAAATAATAACCAAATTAGCTTGATGATACATGAAATTTATAAATATGTGATCCATCATGTAAAATTACCCATTTAGAATATAATTCATTTCCTCATATAGATAGATAGATAGATGAAAACTCAACCTTCCATGCCTCCACCTAAGTCTAAAGAATGAATAATGCAGAGTAATGCGAATGTATTTGTGTCAAGAATTCCTCTCAAAATGTATAATCAAATTTGATTTTTGCAAGTCTTTTCTTGCTTGGTCTGGCTAACAGAAATGCCTTCCTCCAATATCTTGCAGTGCTTTCAGTGGTGTCACTCTGCTGCCTGTCGAGTTTTGTTCCTTCAACCACAAAATTTTATGTTGAGAAACTTAAGACTTGACCTGTTTCGATCACATCTCTCTAGATCTTACACAAATTCTACACATCCTCCATCTCACCACCTGCCCACTCTAATCGGAAGAAGCTTCTCACTATTCGCAGACTGTTATACTGACAAAAATATTTGTAACTGGCTTTGTTGGTTTCATATCAATGGACCTTCTATATACTTGGTATCAAAACTGATGTAACAAACATCTTCTCAAAGAAACCGTGAAAAAAGGCATCCAACCTGAAACTGATGTTTCAGATGATAGTTGTAGAACACCTCAAGACAATTTTTAATTTTTCATCCATATAAAAATCAGTCATTTTACCATGTTGTCTGTGATGAACACAGGATTGGGAAGACAACGTTGACTGGAATTTCAGCAAAAGAAGTTGGGCAGTGTGTTATATATTCCTGCGAATCAGATGAAGCTCTTGGGAAAGCTATTAATTTCACATTCGAGGAACAGATTTCTTTTACAGGACAGCTGATGCGAAAAATATTAGGTGGTAACATCAGGAAATTTCCTCCGCCATAATATTATGTAAAGTTGTAATATTTACATAAAAAATTATGTAATATTTACACTCAATGTAATAATTACGGGCCCGTCGTAAAATTATGTAAATCCACATCAAAAAAGTTTCCTGATGAAGTTTTCATTACTTATTATTGATAACGGGTGTTTTAATCCTTACCTTTTCTCTTGTAGATAAACCAGAGAATTCTGAATGGGAGAAGGCTTTAAAGGCCTTTAGGCATGCTGGTGAGCAGAGCACAATAAACCTCCAGTTATCATTTATGATAATGTTAGTGATTGGCTCACAAAAATCTGGAAATCCTTGATATCCTTCAGGATGATGCCAAGGATAATGCCGATGACAGAAGATGCATTGTTGTGTTTGTCAACAGTGAAGAAAGTGTTCCCAAAGAATAGAATGTAAATATTTGACTGCTTCCTCTTGAGTGGGAAGATTAATATGGTCTTAGAGTATTCAGTCACGTGCACATGGAAATTTTTGACACTCATTTGTATCAATAGACTTTTTGGAAACGAATTATGATCTTTTAGGCTTGAAATAGTGCTCGCATTATAAGTTGCTTGTCTAATTTATCTATTCCTATCCCTTCAAACAATATATACATGTCATTATTGTGCTTAAGCAAACACGGTCTGATTTTCTCGCCAGTTGTAATTATGCAAAAACTCAATTTCGGTCAGAGAGGTCCCTAACCACATATTCCTAGAAATACATAAGGGTTGCTAAAAAATAGATTTTTGTCTGGTATACGTGTTTTTAATATGTAAAGAAAACAATACCTGTTCATCAATTGTGTTATAATTGATATCAGATATCATAAATTTTGGTCAGAGAGCCTCAGAAGTTGGTTTTACTGGAAAAGGTCTCGTATGACCTATGACCTGCTATAAAGGCTATATGACACTAAAATGACTATGTTAAGAAAATGTGATATGATAATCCATCCATTATTTGATGTTTTCTATATAAAAAATTTGGCAAGGAATAATTCCGAATGAAGCTATTTGTAAAAGTTTCCAAACTGGTCACACGTCTTTTTGTCGATCATTTTATAATATAAAAAAACGGATCAAATTAATATATTGAGGTTTCAAATATTTTTCTTTCATTTAAACTTTTAAAAAATTTTCAAAATGACATCAATAGATTTTTTTATTAGAATAATTATGTTAACGTTCCTTCACCCATCCTTTGTTCTTATATTCCTTCCGTATATTTATTTTACTGGTAATGGTATAGGTACTAAAAATTTCATATGGTCTAGCGTTTATACTGGTACCGTTTGTTTTTGGTGGTTTTTAGGCTACATTAGTAATAAGAGTAGAAATGGATGGAAAACACAAAAGATCGATTGGAATGATGAAATTGTGGTGATTACTGGAGGTAAAAAAAAAAAATTTTTTAAAGTAAAATAATATTCCAAGTTTAAACTAATTTTATAATTTAAACCAATTTAGGATCGAGTGGTTTAGGTGGTTTATTGGCAGAAACATTGGCTATTAGAACCGTGACAACTATAATTTTAGATATCAAACCACCAGAAATTGAGCATTGTAATTTTCATTATTTTTTTCAATTTTCAAATTTATGATTATTACTAATTTTATATTTATAAATATATACAGCTAATGTAATATATTATGAATGTGATATTTCAAAATTAAAGAATGTTGAAGAAGTGGCAAAAAAAATTATTGAAGAAGTGATTATTAAATACATCTATTAATTAATTTAATAATAGACATCAAATAATCATTAAAAAAATAATTAATTTAACTTGTATAATGATAATATTTAGGTAGGAAACCCAACCATTATTATTAATAATGCTGGCATTGTTAAAGGAAAGACCATCTTGGACGAATCAGAAAACGAAATAATCGAGCAAGTTTATTATAACTAATTCTTATGATTATTTTAAAATCAAGATTATTTATTTATCAATTTTTTTATAATAAATTTTTAGAACACTAAATGTAAATTTATTATCATCATTTTGGACAGTCAAGACTTTCCTACCTGATATGATAAAAAATAACCATGGTCATATTGTATGCATTCGATTATTGATTTATTAATATTAGGCTATGATTGATCATTAGGATTATTAATTATTATGGTTATCATTTGCTTTTAGGTATCAATTGCGTCTGTAGCTGGATTTAGTGGCATTTCTCAACTAGGTAGCTAACTAATGACAATCAGAATATTTTCGTTAATCTTTGATCAATTAACCGGTCAACTAATCGATTATATAATTTTAAAGGTGATTATTGTGCAAGTAAAGCAGCATTAATCTCATTTCACGAGACATTACGATATGAATTGGATACATGGTATGTTCATCACATACACACACATATATACATACTCCTACTACGTTCATTCATACGCTTATATATTTATTTACACACATGTTAGCTATAATGCAAAGAATGTACGTACAACGTTAGTTTGTCCAGGTCTTTTGCGAACAAAAATGTTTGATGGAGTGCAAGTCGAATACCCTTTTATTACACCACCCTTGGCACCTTTAGATGTAGTAAAAAGGATTGTCACGTCATTAGATAAAAATCAAGGTGAAGATATCCTAACACCTTATTATGCTAATCTGATGCCTTTATTAAGATTCTTGCCAAGTTTCTTTCATGATTCGCTTCATAAGGTATTTGTTGTTGTTTTTATTGTTTGTTTGTTGGTTGGTTTTAATAAATAAATAGATAGATTTTTAATAGATTTTACCAATGTATGTCATTTGTAGGTGTTCAAAGTTGATTATGGAATGAAAACTTGGAGAGGAGGGGAAAAAAATGATTAAACTAATTTTATTTTTTAAAAAAACTTTGCATATAACTATTTATATAATATATATATATAATACAAATTCCAAGCATATACAATAATAAAGTAAAATTTACAAAAAATATTATATAAACGTTAACTTTTCTCTATAATTAAGGGTATAGAATCCGATTCCTCAACAAAAACAGTTTCGCCTTCACTAACAACTTTACTTTCTTCATTAATAACCACAACGTTATGTTTAGATACTCTTTTGAGAAGATCATCTTTAATAGGATCCTTGATGGGATTACCATCTTCGTCAACGTAGACGATTCCTTCTTTAAAAATTTTTTTAATATTTTCTCCACCAACGACACTGCTAACCCCCATTTCACTACTGGTTATATCTCCTCCAATAATAGAACCACCAATGTTACTACTATTACTAATTCTTCTACTTCGAACATCGTCATCGCCATATGATATTATTTCTTTTCTTGTTGTTATATTGCCTCCATCACCAAACATACTACCATCATCGTTAGTGTCAACACCAAAATATTGATCGCTTTCAAAAATAAGATTTCCACTTGCAATACTACGAGTACTAATAACAGGATCAGTTGTATTTTTTTTTTTAGTTCTAAAAAAACTTGTTAAACTAACTTTTCCTGAAGTCAATTCAACATTATCTCGTGATTTTCCGTCACCTTTTTCAGCACCACTGCCATATTCATCAGCATCTTGGTCATCCTCGGGTTTATTCGGCCTATATCTCACATATTTAATCACAAGATAAATTATCCATAATAAATTGAATGATAGAACAATAGTAGTAATCAAAAAAGCGTATACTGATATCAATGATGGTTCTGTTTCCACCATTATTTGATAATACGCCTAGAAAGAAATCAACCAATCAAGTAAAACATTAGTAAATATTAATAGTAATAATCATATCATTATTATTAATAACGACATTAGTAAGTTGCTGCTTGTTACCTGAATAAAGAATTGAGGAATCTCTTTAATTATAAAGTTTAACAATCCAATAAAATAAATTAATCTACGACTAAATACCGAGTATGGTGCGCAAAATGATTCTTTACTTTTAAAAGCACGTGAAGAAAGGATCTTCAACGAATAAATATCAACAAACGATATTCCAGTAAAAATTGTTGTAACAAAAATATTTTTTTCCAACCAATTCCTAAAACTTTCTGATTGATTTGATTCTTTAATCATTATAGATAATCCACTTAATAAATTTATAATAATTGGTATTATTATTGTTGCCATGCTGTTTGGGGAAAATAAAATAATTAATTTTTTTATGAGCAAAAAATCTTGGAAAAAAAAATTAATAAAAGATTTTTAAAAAACCTTGGAATAAAAAGAATTTCCAATTCAAGACCATCGAATGTTATGAAAGCTATATTTAAAACCATGCTCACGAATGAAAGTAAGAATTTAAATATCGACCCATAATCGCCCTAAAATAAATAAATATAATACAATCAATTTAATTTAAACAAAAAAGAAAATACTTTATATAAAAAAAAATATTATTTTACCCGACGATCCATGCAAAAAGAAACCAACAACACAATTCCAACTAATGCAACACCTGTAGAAAACCCAATAATCGGAATAACCATTTCCTCGTTAAATCCGAAATCTAGTATTCATCGTTCATTTATCATTAATATCAATCAATACACTAATTACCAAAAGAATAAATATAAAAAAAAATTAATACTAACATTTACGTTGGACATCAGGATCTAAATATTTCGTGTATAAGCCTTGTGGAATTGGTCCATTGTCAGTAGCGTTGATCAAGGAATAAATATCATCTAAAATATGTTCCGAGTTCATCTCGAAAGTATCATTTGAGCGCTCGATTCTGATAAAAAAGGCCAAACGATGTTCTTGAAGATCGTTGGTATCGTTTGTATAAGTTTGTAACGAATTTATTCTTGCAGGTGAAACCGGAATCATATTGGCCATTTCTCTAATTATATTATTTATAAAATCATCTTTTTGATCAACAGCTAAACTGTTAAATATATTAGTCCCATCTGTATTTAAACGAAGTCGCGCATCAATTGGTCCTGAAATTTGATTTATTAATTTTATTAAATCAATCAACTTAAAAAATATCTAATTAAATAATGAATATATTTTTATACCGGTATTTGTTTCTTCTTCTGTTACTGGGCCTATATATTAAAAGAAAAGAAAATCAATTTTATAATAAAAAAATAAATCATTTCACCAAAAAACCCAATCACCAGTTTTAAATTTCCAAACATTTTTTTGAATGCCTTCGATCGGATAATGAGTTTCGTCAGCTCTGACAAAATCAGAATCAACAGCAATAAAATAATCCGTACTGGGTTGATTGAATGTACTTTGCAATACTTTGACGGCTACAGTTAAACTATCAATACTCAAATGACAAAAATCTGAATGCGCTGAAATCGTTAGCCGGAGATTATAACCATCTTCGGTCAATTGATAAATATTGAGCCTGTTTATTGAAAGTTCGACCGGTAAGCTATATGTTATGTTTAACTCGGTATTTCTATAAGGAATTATCGAATCAATTTCCGGGTATATTTGATATATTTTTCCAAGATCTAAAATGCAAATTTAAAAATTTTTTTTTTTTGTACGAAAAAAAAATTTTTTTTTGACCAAAAATAACCAATTACCAGTTTTATTTGTTACGGAGGGTGGATCCGAAGAAATCAAAGTCCAAGAAGACTGTTGAGTTTGAACTACGGCGACAATTGTACCATTTGGAAGAATATCATACGGTGAACCTCTTGACATAGTTGTCATGGGTTGTTGTAATGGCCTATATCATAGTCATTATTATTGATATTAACCATTACTAATTATTTTTACACGCGTGTATTTATTTATTTCCAGTGTGATAATTACCAAGGTCCAATGTAATTACCGATTGCATTTAGAATGTATCCGTAAATACTTTGACTATCAAGGCTTTGTCGATAATCATGATAATTTAAAAGATATCTGAATTTATAATAATATAAATTATTTGTTTGTTTCCAAAGAAAAATTAAAATTAAAATCCTCTGGAGATGTTAATTTTTAATTACCCTCCATAAATCAGTGGAGTGATGGTTATTGCCTCGCTATCATTATTCATAATCTGTGTATCTAAACTTCCAATTTTTTTCAAATTTCTAATAAATTAATAAATTTATATTTCAGTAATTTTTTCAAAAAGATATTTACTGACTTCATTTTTAAATTCATTCTAATTACCCGGAAGAAGCGAATGAAATTTTTAGGTTATAAGGTTTCGACTTGTTAACTCCTTTAATTAAGTAAAGTTGACATAAATTATCTCCAAGGCTATAGTCAACATTACATTTAATGTAAAGAACATGTAAATCTTGCAATGGACTATGAAATATTAAATTTGATTCCGAGTTTCTCAAATTGCTAGTTTCAGGAATTGCGAGAAAATTGGCGTCAATTCTAAAATTAACTTTAGTCGGGTCGATTTCAATATCATTCAAGCACTCGTTAGTTAAAACTTGTTGTGGCTGTTGTGGTGGTGGTGGTGGTGGCGGCCTTTGTCGTTTTCTCAGCGGCTTGTTAGTATTTAAATTTATTATAGATCGTGTTGTGACTAAACAAAATCCTCCGCCGGCTAACGGATACCCCGAGAAATTTATTTCTTCAATGCTATTATCATTGCTGTTGTTGTTGACATCTTCTATTATACCGTTATCTGTAATATTTACGTATGGTTGGTTCGCGTTTCTATTAAATTATTCAATTAGTTCATTGAATTGATTATTTATATTAATATATCTAAAATTTTTATCACGAAATACTTTTTTCGTTTCGAACAAAAAAATTTAAATGCTCACGGCATTGTAAAATGACTCCAAATAATATCATTCGTATTGCTTTTATAGCCAACGTATAAAAATCCATTTTTCTTTAAATATTTAGAATAATAAATTGGTCCTGGTGGTTGAACGAGTCCATCCCGACTCACAGTTGCAACATTTAAATAATTATTACTTTTTTAAAAATAGAAATAATCGAAAATTATTTAGTTGGGAAAATTATAAATGATCATCACAAAATTATCTATTATTTTTTTACCTCCGGATACTTCCTTTCCAATCTATGAGTAAACCATATACACTTGCGTTTGGAACCTCGCTAGAGTTTAAATATGCGACAAAAATATATTGTTCAACTAATGGATAAACATCTAAATAATATTGATAGACACCTTCTGAATAAATTTTACAGAAATTAAAACCAGGAATTTCATTGGTAACATCAATATCTAAATTAATTAAAGTTCCATTTGTAAAATACAGTCGGAAATATAAAATTGGTTGAGTGCAATTTTCATTGTTGAGATCCAAATGTATTAAAATTGTTCCATCCTCGTAAGTTTTAAGATCGTATGCTATTAGGCTATGTTGAGTTTCGGAAAATTGAATTGTGTTATTTAAACAATTTACACCATCAAGGAAAAAAATTATTTGCATTAATGAAAAAAAAAATAGTAATAAAAGTGAAGGATTCTCGCGAAGGAAATAATGATTATTCTTGGGATTCTTGGTGCGAGAAGAGTTCTCGGGTTTAAAGGAAGGAACTTGGCTGTTAAAATTGTCAGAATTCAAGCATTTTTTGTATTTCATTATGTGATAAATAACAAAAAATTCAAATTTAATAAAAAACTTGACTTGCTTGAAAAAAAAAAATATATATTTCTAAGCCTTTTGTTTGCAAAATAGAATTTCTTGATGATGGGGGCTTTTCAACCATCCCTTCTAAAATAGATGTGTGTAACGTGATAGAAAACGGGCTGTTATTGTTATTATTATCATTATTATTATTATGTTATTATTGTTATTATTATGTGAATTTCCCTCAGGACCTCGGATAATCATATTTGAACTGGTGTGTAAAAATTGTCAATTTTTTTTTAAAGGACTGACTGGTATATATTAGCATTAGTGTTAATATGTAGATTTGTTAGAAAGATGGAGTATCTAATTTACTCTCTATTATAATCAACGAGCCTTCTGGAATTGTCGATCATCACATGGACAAAATTTTAAAATTATTATAATAATAAATAATAATACAAATGTTTAAATACGGAAATCAACTATCAGCTATGTTTATTTGTGCTTTATCCTCTATGTGACCAATCAATAAGTTGATAATAATAAACAATAAATAGAGCTGTCCAGATTTGTCCGTTTAATAATTTCTACTTGGTTGTAAATTACCCTTATTGTTGTTCAATACACAAATTTAGTTTTATATTGCAAATAAAGTTCTTTATTTGAACAGACAGAGACTATTATATGACTTGATAATGCCGGTAAAACGGTAAATTAACAAAATTATTTAGAAATAAAAAAAACTAAAGATTTATTTATCAAATATTTAAAGATTATGTTTTAAGGATGTGTTAAATCATTATTTCTTGGTACAATGTTGTTTGGCGATAAACCAGTAACTCCAACTGTTAGTTTAAACAGTAAGTTATTATCATTATATACATATTATTTTGGTTTGCTTATCATTAATTAGTTTTTTAAATAAATTAAAAAGTAACTATTTAGTTGGAAAAATGTATCGAGATTAATTTTTTGGACTTTAGGAGGACAACGAGAACTTCATGATATACGGGAGAAATATTATAGTGAATGTCACACGGTATTATTACATTTGTAGTAGATTCAAAGAATTGAACAATGCAAAAAACATTTGGTAATTCTAATATATAAAAAATTATAATTAAAAAAAAAGTGCTAGTAGATTTTTTTCTCTCTCTTTTTTAATATAATTAGAAAAAATAATTACAAATGATAAAGTAGAAGGTCTGCCGGTGTTAATGCTCGCCAATAAACAAGATATACCTAATGCTCTTAAAATAAGAAATTTTCAATAAAATTGCTTTAAAATTGGGAGCAAGAGATTTACCAATGTCTGCTTTGGAAGGGTAATTAATCAATCAATTCTTATTAATAGATGAATATTATCATTGTTATCATTATTACTAGAGTCAAGTGAAGCAATAGATTGGCTATTCGTAGGAATACAACATAATAAACAAAATCGACCACAAATACTTAAATAACAGTCTTTTTATTAACAATAAAATTAAATTTTACAAATTTTCAATAATGAAATATAAGTTGATGATATACCAATTCTTTTTTTATCATTATTTCAATTGGTATAGTTCATATACAAAATATTTACCAAGAAATTATATATCATTTAGTAGCCGAGAATGATTTTACTGCTGGCAATAATATGACTTTGATGTGAATAAATCCTCATAAGAATTTAACTAATTTAACTGGACCCGATTTTTTGATATTGAGTAGACACATTTCAATTGCTTAACAACCTTATATTTTCGTAATTGTTCTCATAAGAATTTAACTGAAGCCGATTTTTTGATATGGAGTGTATGCATTTAAATTGCTTAACAACTTTCTATTGATAATCCTTATAATGTGTGGTCACATGAGGTTGTCCAAATAAATATTGCGATATATATATTTGAGTCAGAATGATAAAATCATAAATGGGATAAAATGTACAACAAAAAATTTATGATGATTTCCTTTTTTTCACTGTGACAAAACGGTTGATGTTATATGGATGAAATATTATCTCAACTGAATCATTATCAGAGGTATTCATTATTTTACGCGATTGTAATTCTGAAGTTGACAGTGTGTGAATGATAGAGTAAATGTCCTCCGGTTCTGTATGTAGGATTAATGGATTGCCCGTTCAAATAGATGGAACAAATTCTTTGCATTCCCAACAACATTAATTGTAAAAATCAACAACATACTTTCCATTGCTGATTTTCTGATGAAATTTCATATGTACATTTCGTTAAATCAATGGGAGTCAGCCTGTTTAATTTTCTATTATTTAATGTGAAAGAATCTGGTTGACTTCAAGATATCCAAACTCGATAAAATTACGTGTAACAACCTTGTAATCTGGTCTTCATGCGTTTTTACAAGGACCTTTTCGTTCTGTACTGGCTAAACTTGCTTCATCCCCTGTTTTTTCCAAAAGCACATTAGTTTCAAATAACCCACGCCACATATTGTATAAATTCTCTCGTTGTAATGTCTGTCAATGGCGATATGACCTTGCATACATATGACCCTTCATTTATACTAGCTCTTTTGGCGTTGTATATAGTTTTTCGTTGGTGCCACAAATTTGATGGAATCTGGTTTGTCAACTCCTGCAATTTTTCTAGTCCATCTAAAAGAATACCAAATGCCTTTGACAAATGACACATCAAAAAAGTGATAAACAAATATTCCAGCAATTACGGTGGCAACTAGTGCGTAAGTAATTAGTTGGGTAGTTTCAAAATTATCCGGTTTAACGGTGACTAAACTAGTGCTTAACTGTTGGACTGTGCTAGTGAGATTACTCGGACCTTTCAGAAGTCTTATCAAGGCATTTCTCCTTTTCATTTCGGATGAACTCCTCGCATGTAATAGTAACCTTTAAAATCTTATTCGTTGGCAATAAGAATTTTCTGCTTGATGACTTTAAAATCTTACGTGACTCTTCTGCTATTCCTGTAAAAGGCATTGATCTGTCACTCAATATTTCATAATGGTAACCATATTCCAAATTTTGCTTGCAATTTGCCCTACACACTTTTCACATGATCTTCAATGTCAAACATTTCCCAAGGGTCTTCCTTATTCCAGTAATTACTTGCACTTTTTGTTATTAACTTTAAAAATTGTATATTAATTCTTCCTTTTATTATTTTTGTGATAGAAATAGCTCATTGCTTAATTTTCCTAACCAGGAACCTCTAATAATGATATATTTATTGTTATAGGCGGACTAATATTCGTATGCTTTTGAGCTTCATAATGATCACCATAACAAAACAATTTTGTGTTACACGATTTTATTTTCTATTTTCTGGTAGGTAACCCAATTAATTAATCATTATATACCATTACGATTACCTATTAATAAATCAATAAATGATGCGTTTTTGGCATTAATCATCCACAATTTATCATTCATTTTATTTTATTTTATTGGATAAATCATGTAAAAAGGCATGTTATTTGTAATACTTCAAGAAGTATAAACATGCTTGAAATTTCCTTTAGTGTAAAATGAATGATCTTAACCCACTAATAAAAATAACACTTTTATGTAAAAATAGACTTTAACTGTGATTGATAAAGCTGGTGTGATTAATCCATAACCCGTCCTAATGATTAATGGTTTAGCCAACTTTCAATTACTAGTTAGTTCACCCCCTTATAATGGAGAGAGATGTCTAACAACTATCATTACACCATCATCAATTTTAATAAATGATCTTAAAAAAATCAAAAATTGTAAGGAGATATAAATATGAAACATTAACAAATGTGCCTTGTTTTTGTTTACTAATTCTGATTATGCTGGGATACTAATATAATGGTTGACTGAAAAGCCAAGGACCTTTGGTGGTTTGGATTACTACTAATTACCAATGATTGAAAAAATTGTCACTTTGTTGTTAAGAACAATGATTGGTTTAAATACATATCTTTTGATGATGTGATACTTTGATTTTTGCTATCCATCTACAGAAAACAATTAGTGTTGTTGAAAAAAATCAGAAATGTAGTTATTTTTGAAAGGCCAGGCAGATTATAATGTAACCCTTCCACATATAAATTGAATTTTACATCATGATCAACCTTTAATGTCATTAAATATGCAATGATGTGTACTTATTATTTATATTAGTTGTAATACACTTTATTATCTATCTAGTTTTGATTTTCTTTGAGGATTCTTTGAAATAAAATAGAATTGAGATGTTTTTCCTTATATGGGGCATGCTGCAACAAAACCAGACAAAGTGAACCAAGAATTTCAGGTACCAAAATTTAGTCATTTGTAATGTGATCAGTTTTATAATATCCCATTTGTTATCTTAAGTGATATATAGAACTATCCCCCTATATAAAAATAGTAATATGAAATTAATTTAC